CGAAAGATGTATTTCAAACAGGATTACAAACGAACGAGCGGGATTTCATCCCGAATTTAGTGATGGGGAATCGTCAGCTGTGCCTAAGCTGCTTTCCAACAGATGCCATTCATGTTTGACGACTGTATTTCATTTCAGTTGTGATTTTGTTCGGAATTATTCAAGATACATTTTGTACAGATGATTCATTTTTACTACTAACCTGAGAAGTCACCATTATTTACTCCATTTCCCAGTGAGAAGCCATATTTATCTCCCTAGATCAATGAGAATAACAAAAAAGTGCCTAGGCAAGATCAATTTCCACTTCTAAGTCCCTGTAACTAAGATCCGCGTATTTTTCGGTTTTTTCTGAAGTTTTTCGTAGCACATGGCAACAATGTTTTTCAAGGCCCTAATCAACATATTGCTTCGTAACTACGAAAAACCCCGGTAACCATCGAAAGTGACAATAAAATTCGCGAGTTCAAGTACCTAAGGTGGCGCTGCTGAACGTCAAATTATTCGTTGTCGAGTGACAGTTGAGACTTGTCAGACTTCTTTATTGATTGGAGTCGATGACATTTATAACATAAACAATACTTACACACTTTTCGAACTGTTTCTATTTCTTGAAAAGCTTGCAAAAGTTGACTAGAACAAAACATAACAAATCACAATCAGATGTGAACACCAATGTGACACCAACGTCAACAAAACAAGTGTCAAATTACTACTTAACTAGTAGTTAGCATTTTAGCCACCAGGGGGCGTTTGAAGTTTTGAACTCGCAAATTGTCATCATAACTTCGAATTGTAGAAGAGAACTTTTTAATATCCATTTTCACTTCTAAGTCACTGTAACTAAGATCCGCTAATTTTTCGGTTTTTCCTGAAGTTTTTCGTAGCACTTTTAATTGTTTTTTAACTTTTCATAAATTGTGTTGCGGCAGTGAAGGGAAATTCAAAGTCTAATTAAATCAATTTAGGCATTTTTCCGTGCTGGTAGCAAAAAAAACATCTACAGGGTGATTGAAAATTGGCGTCATTCCTTTGGATGTGTTTCAGAAGTGCAGAAAAATTAGTTAGAAAAATTAATTTGTTATTAAAAATTGAGAAAATTGCCACCAGTAGGATGGCAACAATGTGTTTCACGGCAATCTGCCTAATTAACATTTTGCTTCATAATTGCGAAAAGCCCCGGTCACCATAGAAAAGTAACGATTGACAATAAAATTCGCGAGTTCAACTACCGATAGTGGCGCTGCGAAACGTCAAATTACTCGTTGTAGAGTGACAGTTGAGACATGTCAGACTTGCTTCACATAAAACAATACTTACACACTTTTCGATCCGATTCTATTTCTTAAAAATCTTGCAAAAGTTGATTAGCACGAAACAAAAAAAATGACAAACACCAATGACAACAAAACAAGTGTCAAATTACTAGTTAACGTGTAGTTTATAATTTGACTATCAGGAGGCGTTTGGACTTTTGAACTCTCGACTAATGTCATAAAGCTCGTTTACGCGGTGACATTAATGTGATGTTATAGATGACATTACATGTCACGACAGTAATCTCACCGTTTTAGCTTTTATGTAGGTACAGAATGTCAGTATCACACACCTACAGGACCATATTTTAGACCGATAAGTCTGTAGTGACATTTTTACAGTGTTATTCAGGTCAGACGACAAACCAAAATATAAAGTTTTTAGAAGTGATAACTTTTTTGGATAAGTTGAGTATTTGTTGAGTCGAGATTCAACCCAATGTTGCATTTTTTATGCCATTTATAACATAAACAATACTTAGATACACACTTTTCGAACTATTTCTATTTCTTTAAAAGCTTGCAAAAGTTGATTGGAACAAAACGTTACGAATCACAATCAGATGTAAATACCAATGTGACAGCAATGTCAACCAGAACGAGTGTCAAATTACTACTTAACTTGTAGTTATCATTTTAGCCACATGTAGTGTGAAGCAAATACCGTGAGTTTTCTTTACCAACGGTTAAGTATACCGATGGTCCAAAAATGTTTTCAATATTTTTCTTGTACTCTCCAAGTGAGCCCCTATTAGCCCTTAAAAGGAATGACGCCAATTTTGAATCACCCTGTATAATAACTTACTTCTCGCCCTGGGTATATACGTTTTATCATAATTTACTATTTTGTAAGCGACCTGGAAAAACGGAGCAACCACGGCGAGAGCGGCAACATTGGTAGGCGGGGCACACCCAGGACGGGAGTGGCAACATCGGGACTACTTCATGGCTGTGACAGGAGACGGCGCGGCGGTACTTCCGGGCACCAACAGAACATCCGTGGGGTTGCCAGGGGAGATGGATTATTATTGATTTGATGGTGACGGTGCATCGATCGTATTCTTCCTTAAATTTAACCCTAACAATTTATTGTATTGTATTGTATTAACTAATATTATTGTCTAGAAAAGGTAAGGAAATGTCGCTTCAAACCATCAGTGTCACTGTGATGTGAGTCCCAGTTTTCGTGTGCGCCACTCCGTGCCTAAACAAACGTGTATTTTTAATTATCGGCCATTGATGCCTTCGGGGAATGAAAACAGAATTAAATTTCAACCTATTGTTTAATAGCCGACGAATTTCAAATGTCTGTACATATGCACGTTTTGCCAATGCACCTCTAATTAAAAAATGTCCATTGCAGACTGTTTCGTTCTCTGCATATATCGGCGGGCTTCGCTAATAGGGTTTGAAATGTTCAGAAATTAGTTCACATCTGGATCATTCGCTGTACGCTTTTGCCTGCATCAACTAGCATCCCTTCCCTATAAACCGGTGTTTCAACTGCACACGTCTTGCAGACTAAGACGAGACACTGTTCCATTCATAGAGCTTCAGAGTCCAGTTCTAATTGTGATGTGTTATTTTTGTAAGCTTTTAAAACGTTCGAAACTTAAGTGATACTCGCAGTCGGCTGTCAGCCCGATGTTTTTCTAGAGCTCCCGTTTCAGTCGTTTTGGCAGGTACAAACTAACAGAGGACCTGTATGTACTTAGACGATGAAATGTCAATTATCGAGATTGTTACTTCCATCTTCCATTGAACCCAAGTTCCGTTTCATTAACGGTTTTTTAGAATCCATACAGATCAACAGTCATCAGTGTTGTTGAATATTGACGGAACGCAGCTTTACCTCGACCATTTATGAAAAAATGGGTCTTGATTATGTACGAATAGGGAACATTTAGCCCACAGGACTTCAGCTGCTTCAGCTTTATTCTCCGCGGTTGAAGTCATTAGCTCTCGGACTAAAACCGTCGCATATCTACGAATTTAATTAACTCGATATTTTTCATTATAATTTAAAATTTATGAAATTTGTAGACGGGCGCTTTAATTTTTGAGTAGAAGCAAATAAAGCCTTGTAAATTGAATAATTACAACCATCAATTTGATTCGTTTAGTGTTTTGATATGTTTGATCAGGACACACATGCAGGACGGTTCCTATCGAATTCTTTTTTTGCTGAATTCGCTTAGTCTTCTTTTTAAATGTTTGAAAAGTTTCAATCGGGAAAACTTCGGAGAAAAATCCGCATTCTCCTGACTAGGCCGATCGTGTTGAATGAATTTTCGGCGATTTATTCAGAAGCCCGCACGCGAAAATTCGGCAGTACTATTTCACGGCACCGCCAGAATCTCTCCAGGTATTTGCTTGTACAAACTACGTGTGTCGAAAAGAATGCGGACCGCAGAAACTGCACCAAGAGTGAATTATGGAGGCATTAATCTTGCCCCACTGTCCAGGGGGAAGCACGGAAACAACGCGTAAAGCACTTCATAGAAGATTTGAGCAATGAAAAAATGACATAAATTACCGTTGAGCTTCGGTGCATTATTTATGGGCAACGCGTCTAATAAAATATATGCACGGTTTTGCTCAAACACTTAAACTTGCCCGACTTAATTGGTCTTCCTGTTTAACTTGGCCGTTACACCTTTTTATGTCTTACTTACTAAACGACAGGTTTTCCTTATTAACTATTGACTTTAAAATCAAACTTTTTTTAATCGTGCGTCTTTGTTTTGTTTTTCTTCTCCTCTATCTCATACATTAAATTAAGACAAGTTTAAATATACATATGCTTTTGCTTGCTGACTGAGCTGAGAGCCCAACAATTGTCGATAGAGATAGACTTTCGAGGCCATTCCTTGAAACTAATGGGTTTTTAGGCCGTCGTTCGGTAGAATTTTTTCCTGACGTTTCGCAAGCACGAGCGGCTTGCATCTTCAGAAGTGGTTTGCTTGAACGCTTACACTGTTCTCATCAGAACCCGCGTTCAGTTCTG